AAAAAAAAAAAATCATAATAACTTTACACACTAGGAAGTATTATCTGGAAGAAAGAAGTTTTCTTGTATTGTATCACACGCGGGTCTCTCCACTATTGGTACTCTCTAACACAAGCAATTACCTACAATTCTAAAAGAACATTGCCATTATGTGATACACCAACCAACTATGATAATAACTCATCAATTATTCAAACCAAATAACACTGTCCCCAGCACCTTATATAAAATTCCACACTCAAAACAACCTCTAATAACAGAAACAACATGAGGGGCACTACAGTAATTATTCTCTTTCTCACCCTATCGTCTCTCGGACCACCCGTCCATAGCAATGAGGGCCACCACCTGGCGAAATTCATCAAGGCACGGCGCTTTACAAAAGCTTCAGCTGATGACGTGGCTGAGGATGATGACATCATGCCCGATGTCTACTTACAACGTCAGGACGGGCTGAAAATGGCGGACAAGATCAAGATGCTGCCAGGTCAGCCGCCGGTTGACTTTGATCAGTATTCTGGGTACGTGACGGTTGATGCCAAGGCTGGACGAGCCTTGTTTTACTATTTTGTCGAGGCCAAGAACTCGACTGATAAGCCTCTCGTCTTGTGGCTCAATGGAGGTTACGTAAAATAATTCATTAATTTTACTTGAGGTATCATACATAAATAAATAATTATCCGTTAGCTAGTAAATAGTAACAAGACGCTGCAGGCCCTGGCTGCTCGTCATTTGGAAATGGAGCAATGACCGAACTCGGACCTTTTCGCGTGAATCCTAATGGGGAAACATTGTGGTACAACAAACATGCATGGAACAATGGTGACCATCACTTATCTCTAAAATAACCAACTTCGAATTAATTGTTCTGATTTTTTTTTTTATTGCTTTAACTACAGTTGCGAACATAATCTTCCTTGAATCCCCTGCCGGAGTCGGATTTTCTTACTCAAACACTTCGTCTGATTACATTACGGGAGACAGAAAAACTGCTGCTGATTCTTACATCTTCTTGGTTAACTGGCTCGAAAGATTTCCAGAGTACAAAAAAAGGGACTTTTACATAACCGGAGAGAGCTACGCCGGCCATTACGTGCCTCAGCTTGCTGATTTAGTACTGAAAAAAAATGTAAACTCTTCACAACATACCGCCATCAACCTGAAAGGAATCGCTGTGAGTTAATATATTTATCTTTGCAAATAAAACCTTCAGCTCATGCTTCCCTTTGCAAATAGTGCCCTGTTTAAGAGTTAATTTGTAAAATAAACATGAATTTCATAAGGATCATTTGTATTATACGAAGTTAACCGTTGATACATTTTCTGCAACCAGAAGCTATTATATACTCATTTTTTTTTTTGACTTGTCGTATAATTAACATACCCAAGAATCGTGACATATCCAGATTGGCAATGCCTACACAGACTACATAGATCAGTTGAAAGGCGAGTACGAACATTTCTGGGCAAGTGCTCTCATATCCGATGAAATTCATAGAGGGATAGTCAAAAACTGCAATTTCTCATCACCATCATCAACCTGTAGCAAGTACACTAGCGAAGCAGACCGCCTGACAGCAGGCGTATACATTTACGATGTATATGCACCATTGTGCAATCCCTCTTCAAATTCTGATCAAGTATGTATTATATTATTAACATATATAAACTTACATTCGAAAATACAACAAATAATCAATAGACAGTACTGCAATAATGTATTTTCGATACAACAGAAATGTGGATTTGATCCATGCTCAGACGAATATGTCGAGGCATACTTAAATACTCCACAAGTGCAAAAGGCACTTCATGTTACTGGTACAGGGACTCCTACACAATGGTCCGGCTGCAGGTAATAATAACACCGTATATAAGTTAACTACTAAACCATGGGTCGGATATATTAATAAAACTACATTTTTCCTCGGTACAAATTTTTTTTTCCCGAAAATTGGATTGTTAACTCATCACATTTTCCTGCCTTTCTCCAGCCAGAAATTACGAATTATCTTCTTAATTGGAATATATTCTGTATGGCAATATATGCAGCAACGATTTACAGTGGCAGGATAGTCCAAACACGGTATTACCTCTGATTAGGAAGTTGATGACTACCGGTCTTCGCGTTTGGATCTATAGGTGAGAATTCATATTTAACCATGGTAAAAAAACCATATTTTTAAGTAATGCTGGTGTGACGCTGCTTAATGTACAATCATCGATTTTTAGCAGATTTATATAATTTTATATTCAAATGCCATATTTTCAAAACCAATTTTTTGTATAAAACTGTAACACTATAGTATAAGTACATAATTTTATTAACAAAATATGACCGTCTAGCCAAACAACGTAACAGCAGAGTTTGTAGTTTTTTAAATTTTGTTTCTAAGTTTTACAATGTTAGTTTAGAATAAATAAGATCATACTGTAAAACTGGACTTGCAGTGGAGACACAGATGGTATAGTACCCGTTCAAACAACTAAGTATTCTATGCCGAAACTCGGAGCACCAATCACTGTCCCATGGTATCCATGGTACTACAAAGGCGAGGTAACCAACACACACCAAAAAAAAAAAAAAAAATATCACGTTTATTTTTTGTTGGCTTTATTTCGTTTAAATAAAGATATATATGATGGAATTAATAGTAACCCCTTTATATATTACAATTTATGAAAGGTTGGAGGATATGTAGTTGGGTATAAGAATGTGACATTTGTGACCATAAAAGGAGCTGGGCATTTTGTACCAAGTTACAAGCCTCAACAGGCGCTAGCCTTCTTCTCATCCTTCTTACAAGGAAAGTTACCTCCGGGCCAACTACACGAGGGAAAGCTTATGGATGCTTAAAAATTCGAGTTTTCTGACTGTATACATTAGTAATTAGAGGTTGAAAATGTGTTTCTGCATTTACCTTTAGACAATAAGATCCTTTACACATATACATGTAACAATGTCTGAAATGCATATGAAAAAATCTATGTCTACGAATCGCTTGCAAGAAAACAATGTACGTACATATATGGGGCCGGTTGATTTGATGATATCAAAAGCACATTTAACTTATCATTTAAATAAGAAGGAGTACAAACAGAGTCTCTGTTCTCATTTCTACAAAGTACCAAAAAAAAAAAAAAAAAAAAACACGATTTCATGACGTGATTATTCAATTTATGGTTTATTGTGTGTTGGATTGGAAGTCGGTCACTGCTTGCGGAAACGTGGCAAGGGCCAGACAGGGAACTTCATCTGTCCAGCGCTGCAGTGGATGCCATTTTTCTCGCCGCAGACAAACAGATAGGGCTGCCAAAAGGGCGCGGGCTCCAGCGTCACTTTGAATCCGGCACCGGCACCGGCAGTCGTGCTCCCAATCAAAATCGATCCCTCCATGCTACAGTTTATGAAGCTCCCCCAATCTTTCATCAGATACACGCTGTGGTGCGTAGTGTAGCTGAACACTGCATCAAATTCAAACTTTATATATGATTTCGAAAAAAGAATGAATGAATGTTATGAATGAATATTTGAAGACGTACCCAAGGTGTCACCAATATAGAAGGGCCCGTTTTTGATAAGCCAGTCCGTGTAATTGACCCCATAATTCCAGTTGTCCGTCCCACCAACCACGATTGTTCGTGCACTGGGATCTGCGTCTTTTCCGGTGGCCGCACACGGGCACCAGGACCCAGTGCCGATGCCGCCCCACGGCCATATGTTTGTACCCATGGCAATCGACACAACTGAAGTTCCCACGAAAACAACAACAGCGAAATTCAAATTCAAACCCATTTTGTGTGTGATCAAAGTAGATGTGGTGGGTGTTTGAACAACGGATATTAGTGTTTATATAAGTGGCGATCTAACACGTACGCCATAAATTTTATATGAAGTTATGATGACAAACCAGATATTAAAATGTGTAGAGTCCAATATAGATTTAAAACGGTAAAAAAAAAAAAAAAAATCTTATCCGTCCATATTCCATGATTTTTTTTATTTTTATTTTTATTGTTGGATCACAAGACGCTCATACATGCATCCACATTTGTATTTGTTTAAAAAAAAAGAAAAACTTGATTATGACAACAATTGACTATCGCGCGATATAAAATCGCACGGAAACGAAAAAAAAAAAAAAAGAAAAAATTGAAACTTCACCGCAAGTTAAAAAGATAATAAAGAACCGATATTTTTTAGCACTAAAATGGTAGCTTGGTTCGTGCCATCCGGGGCTTGCTTAACCGGGACTGGGAGAGTAATGTCGTTCATTGTTATAGAGAAGTTAATTTTGCAGTCGACTGTTTGGCGACTCTAGCTCATCACTGCCTTAGTTGATGTCAACAGATATTAGACCCACCATCAGTAGTTAACCGTGGTTACAGCATGATCTCATTGGCGCTGCTTACCCGCGAAACATATCTGCCTAATGGTCTGAGGCTTTAGCCTCCTCTCTTTGTACCAAAAAAATAAAAAGTGAAAAAATAATCGAATCAAACAATAACGAAATGTGCAGTTCAACTCAATTTTTTATTTTGTCTCGAATTTTGAATGTATTTATCCAATTTGGTGCAGTTCAGTGCAGAATCGTACTACACCAAACTAAACAAAACCGAAAACCGGAGTTGGCTTATGGTAAAATTTATTTTCGGTACATCAAGTTCGCTTATCTCCATAAAATGTATGTTGATTTGGTAGACATTAAGTGTAAGAAAAATGTACTTGTATACAATATTGCAGGACAACCAACATGACGTGGCATAACGTAGATGATTGAAATGCAAATAAATGTATGATTTTGCTCAATTAAAAATTTGACAAATGTTGCAAACTAATGTCGTCAACTATAATTGCACATGTAGAATTGCACGTAAATTTAATAGACTAATTTTAAAAAGATATAAAAAAATATACATATAATTACTTTTACACATCACGGGCTAACTATGCCAGCAAGATGAGATCGTACACAAAAACATTGGATAGAAAACTGAGTGAGCAAACTAACTCCAATTTGACTAAATATTGGTGCGTATGACAACCTCGACGAGATGAATACAATGTTAGTTCCATGAATAGTTGGGCGGCACTGGAATAGCCATCATACAATGAATATCGAATGTCATTTGCTTCAACGAGATGAAGCTTAATGTGGATTTCCGATAGAAATAAATGTTAGTCGACGCTAGAATTTCCCCTAAATAGAAAACAATGAATTCGGATTTATGACAACTTAGAACGAAAATCGAATCTACATTTAGGGCAACATCAGACGAAAAATTAAGTCGAAAAAAATGATTTTGGGGTTCAAATTTTTGTGAACTGCCGCCTTGACGAGGCAGTTCTAGCATTGTGTCACTCACCTGAAACCGACGTCGAATGGTTTTGGAATGACTCCCAAACAATAATAATGAAAGAGAAATGTTATATGTACATAATATTGAATATGGGGATTTAAATAACACTCACATTGAGTGGGATTGACCAAAAATTAAAAAATCAAGTGGACTTCACTCAATGTGAGTGTTATATATACTTCTATGTAAATTTAGTAATGTACTTGTAGCATTTTTCATAACGAAAATGTTTCGACTACGGCAGACGTCAATCCTCCTCATGGTTAGTGTAAATTTTATGATATTTTTGACAAATTAATATATTATTTTTTTTTGTATTAATTAAAATGAGAAATTAATAACTGGCTGAGATATGCAGTGGAAATTGGAATTCGTTTCCACTAAACGATAAAAACACTTTCTTTTATGTTTTATTAGTGCTAGCAAACTCGCCTGAAAACTAGCTCAACCTAGAATAGTAATAACACCTATATATACTTTATTAAAATATTTATTAATATAAATCTGCGGTGTAATTATGTTAAATCGTTTTTCATTATAAAGAAATTGACTATTTATTCCCAAAATCAATAGAATGTCAAACATTGGATTCCAAATGCCTTGAACAAACCAAGATATTTTCTAAACCGAATAAACCACACCTTAAAAAGATGCTTTTTTTTTCGAACAAGACAAAATGAACATACACGAAAATGTATGACGGCAGTTTTGAAGCCTCCATATATATATATATATAAATATATATGTATATATGATTATGATCTTGTATAATAGGCGTGCTGTAGACATGTAGTTGCTTGAAAATGTTGTGAAAATATTTTTAATGCGGATTAAAAAAAACAAGTTTAATTATATTTAAGAATTTATAAGTAGAAACCACAAGCATCGACTATGCAATGAGACATAAAACTAGAATTTTTTTTATTAAAGTGAACAATTTTAATTGAAATAACAATTTAACTGCATGTTTAAATTGTCATAGAACACATATCACCGATTCACCAAAACTCAGGTTGTCTTGAAAAATTTTGATTTATTACTTAGAAGCTCGACAGACCGACTTGAGCAGGTAGCTCGGCTAGGCCAGTCTACGGGAGCTCTAGTATGATCAGAAACAAGCTATCAAGTCAAGGAGCTTGGACTCAAGCTCAAGATACTGACCAACCTGAAGGTGCCAACCTTCAGGAGCTTGACAATAAAGCCGACCTTGAGGTATCAAGGTCGTACGACTAGAGGACAGGTTAGACCTCAGGATAAAGTCAGGTCGGCCTCGGGTAAGTCATAGCAGGTAGGCTAGGAGGTCAGGGTTACGGCCTAAGGACCTAAGAGTTGTATAGTAAAGGAGAAAGAATCACTTGCTCAAGGACACTTGCCTAAGAAGAGACATGGTAAGTTAGGAAGTGTGATCCAGTTAGATCTCTTTCCTAACATGGACTCTCTTGTGCACCAAGGCAACTACCCTATATATAAGCAGGAAAAGACCTATCTGGAATTTGATAAGTATACAACCAAAAATAATAAAATAAAGTAAAATAGAGTCCCTTGGAGACTATGTCGCCCGCTACACAAAGGAGTATGTATAGGTTGCTTCCGCATAAGAAGAAATACGAGTCAGAGGTCTACTCGAGGACTCCATCTAGATCCATGTCGTAACTTGCTCGCCAAGAGACATGTCAGATCCTTTGATGAGCAACGTGAAAGGTGCACCAACTACATCAATATGGAGGAAGCTGAGGCATATAATCTGCAGAATGATAGAGAAAAACCAAAGAAGGCTCAAAAACTAATGATAAAAGGTCGCCAAATAAAGAAGGGAGGTCGGATGGTCGGCCTAAGTTGGGTTTCCAGTACTACTAGTATGCCCCAGACACGGTGTCTCAAAGAGACATGTTCAAGGTACTCGAAAAGCGAGGTGAAGTGGACACCCTCACTGGGCCTAACCCCATTCCGAGAAGGAAAGGATACATGCCCAGAGAGGTGACCCCTATTGTTGGTATCACAAATATTACTGTTAGTTCGGTGAAGAACGTCGGTTCATGTATGCATCTAATAACTTAACAAGTTTTAATCCTATCGCAGTGGAATTTATGAATAGGATTCGAGGAATTATGTTTCCAAAACTGCCAACTTTGAGATGCTGCAGATTTTCGTTGATGAAGATCGTCTGTCCCATCAGGCTACTTGTCTATCGCCGAGGAACATTGCAGAAGTCGCACGACGTCGTATGGTCGCATCGCAAGGATAATTGCATCGCGTGCATGGGTCGGGCGGGAGACTGCTGCATCACGCAGTCGGGCCTGGTGCATCACGAGTCATCTAGCTGCTTGCTGGGTATCGCTAGGTGTTGCGGTTCGCTGTGCCTCGGTCCTTTGGTGGTGGTTGATCGCCGGTGAAAGAGGTTAAGGGGTTGTATATAATTTCACCGGGATAGCAAAATATATTAAACTGCGATTGCTATTGTATGACCTTGCATCTATTTCGATCCGTCGGGGTGGTCGACTTATCGGATTTCCCAATCCTCACAATTTTTCTCACGATTTTTTTTTTCTCTTATATATTGCTCTTGGTTATTCGAGATTAAGTGAGGGACCTACTGAAGATAAAAGTGAGGTATCTACTGGAGATTAAGCGAGGAACCTATTGGAGATAAAAGTGAGGTATCTACTGAAGATTAAGCGAGGGACTTATTAGAGACATAAATGACGGACCGATTAAAGATACATATTTGGGACCTATGGAGGACTCATGTGAAATACCTATTGAGGACTCACATAAGAGACCTATAAAGACTTAAAGTATGTGGACGCAAGATATAATATATAAAAAAAATTATGATTATATAACTTAATTCGGTCAGTTTGGTTAAATTGTTTAACTGGTCGAAATAACTATTGGATTGCATATTAGTGATTGCACGAATGTACATTAGTATAATATATAAAAAATTCTGATTATATCGACTAAATTGCTACAAAGTCCTTGTTATTTGACTAATTTCCAAAACTAAGCCCCCATGTACGAAAAAAAGAAAAAAAAAATCGAAATCCATAATCTCTTCAATTCTCTCACGCACAGACACTATTCAGCCACCACGTCTCCCGCAGCCCGCATCTGCAGTCAGCCACCCGACACCGCCTGAATCCTGACGTCAGCCACCCGACACTGCCTGGTGTTAGTGTTATATACTAAAAACTTGGCTTTGGATGATATTACACTTTTACCCTTTATGAATGAGAAACATGTTAGATTAAACAAGTTCTATGTTCTGTTGTTTTGCAATTAGATAGTGTGGGTCGGGTCGGGCGAACCGAAGATCATTCTATCTGTTACATGCGAAACAAGATTTTGGTTCACAACCTAGATGGAAATGAACACCACATCCGAACGGTTGTAGTGTCAAAGGCACTGTTTGTCTTGACTGATTAGTTGCACTAG